ACAATTTTAATGCAAAAAAAAAGAAAAGAAGATTAAATAAAACATCTTTTTCTATAGGAGATTGTATATTGAAGTGTGTATAAAGGAAGTATGAGTAATGAGAGTGTTTAAGTGAAGTATGTATATTGAAGTGTATATAAATGCAAATGCTCCATACATTCTTTTCCGTTTCACTGTTGCAGATAACAGAAAATTTATCTAATTCAAATTCAAGTAATTTAAGAACGTCGGAATTTAGTCAAATATATCTTGTATTTAACGATTTACTGCACGATGTTCAACTGTTTTTAGGTAGGAGGTTGCCCAAAATTTAAAATCAGTCAGTACTAACATTACCATTAATCAGAAATATCGATTAAACACAAAGAGATAAAATTTTAAGCAGACATTATGAAGTGATGTGTTAATTTATTTATTATTATTGTTGTTGTTGTTATTATTATTATTATTATTATTATTATTGAATATGTATATATTAAATCCCTTCAGGAAGATAAAGTCTCTCTCGTACGGAGTAAGTAAATTAATTTTGAAAAATATCATCTTTATCTTTAGGTGATTCTTCGATATACATAGGGTGGACCCCAAAGTTCGCTTATAATGTATATATATATATATATATATATATATATATATATATATATATATATATATATATATATATATATATATATATGTGTGTGTGTGTGTGTGTGTGTGTATACGAAGATCCCCATGTGACAGGCGATGTGACATAATTCTGAAAAAAATATTATTTATTGGGAACGAGTGATATTATCTATATCTTTTCGCGTAAGAGTTTTCGATCTACATGGCCTCCGTTACAACATCGATTAATTTCAATATACTACAGTAGCAGTTCAATTAACATGTTCCATCGAGGTTCTCCTGCATGCCTCATGCTGTTAAGACTGTGGCCACCAATAATGAATCCTACTAGGTATTCTAATTCTCTCAGAATCACTTCACTGTAAAGGAAAGAAAAATTTTCTTATACACCTTTCTTTTTTGTGTATTTACTGAATTCATTATGTAGTCTTAATAAATAAACGTCAACTTCTGTCTATCCGTCCACGTGTCTGAAACGCATCTAACAAGGGCCACATTGCATAGATATATTATACCATTTCGGAAACAGGCCGTCATCTGGTGCTCGAACGTTGGGATTTGTGTCCGTGTGATGGGGAACAGTTAAAAATTCAAATTTTAAAACAAATGAAAAAAGTGATTTTAAAAGGTTTTTTTTTTTAAATATAGATTGAGTTAAAGTAATACGAAAACTTTGTGAATTTATCTTGTTTTCTTTTAAATTCATTTTAAAATATCTCCAAAACTTTGTGAGTTGATGAAATCAATTTTATTTCTTCAAAATGAAATGGAATCAGGGTTAACGTGAGAGATTAATTCACGTGAGATTTTGATGTTCTCCAGAGTTTGTGATATGAAGAACTCAACACAATTGAAGTTCCACGGAGTTTATGATTTATAGATATCAATTTTCGGCTTGAATTACAATTTCGGCTCAAATCGCACTTTCGATCACAAATCGGAATCTTGGCATTTAGAACTGAACCCTTTATTTCGCTCACTTTATTTCGTAGACTGTTCTAGTTCCACGGCCATGTTTTTGATGGATGTCAGTTATCAGTTATCTCCTGTTAATTTCCCTCTTAACCGGGTATTGAACTCACACTCTTTGTGTCCTGTCACTGAATCTAACCAACGCCTTTATCCACTGTGCCATGTGTCCTTGAGGAGATCTGGGTATGAATTTCTGGGTATTATAAACCTAAT